TGTGTGAGTGGCGACTAGCATCTGAAGGATCGTTTCCCTAAGAGCAGAATGGGAGGCAGAGAGAGCAGTTGGTGGGATGGAAATTTCATCGTTGGAGCGACTGCTTCAGCTTCTCGATAGGGGGCAAGGGAGAATGGGAGGCAAGGAAAGGAAATGCAAGAAAACGTGGAAAAGCAGCGCCGTGTGATCGGGTGAAGAGTGTGTCAGCCGTTGACGGATTTGTTTCAGATGACCAGGAATACTGGACCAGCGAGCTCCAACTTCTGTGTGTGTGACGGACGGGCACTGGCGTTGGGCTGAGCTGGAAGATGGATGTGGTGGCATGTGGTGGCATTCGGGTGGTGGGCTTGACGTTGTGGTACTCCGTATTGACTGAACCTTGTTGCAGTTGAGATGCGATTAAATCGAGATATGTCAAAGGCAGAATAACTTGGAGCAACTTGCAACGTAGAAAACACCCTGGTAATGTTGAAGTACCAAGGTAGACAGGAGACACGGAAATGGAAGCGTAAACGGCGACCCAAACGTTCCATTCCAGTGCCGTGGGACGTTCCCACAACGGACGGGCAAACGTTAGCTGCATGGCGGCAGGGCGGCATGGCTTGTCTGCGTGGCACCCACTCCACTGATTTCCAGCGCATGTGCGCCATTCTTGCCTTGCCTTAGGGGATGGATGCAATGCACCTTTATGTCAGCACCCGAGCTTGAGAACCTGGCACTTCCGTTATGGGACGGATCCGAAGAGGCCCGGAAGCCCATGCGGCCCGAAAAATAAGGGTACGTATCTTTGGGAGCTTCCATTCCATTTTTGATGCGACGGGAGCTTCCAGGTTCTCATGAAGCTATCGCAAGCTATCCCAAAGATCAATCTGGGAGACACCGACGACCCGACCACCAGCTAAGCTGCACACGATCCAAACGCAAACCTTCAATGGTCGCATGGTGGCGAACTGCAACAAGTCTGAACCTTCTGCCCGCCCAAGTCTACCCCTCCAATCACCCCCATCCAGAGAAGCTTCGTAGCCACTGGTCGACCGACACGAGTCCTGCCTAGAGGAGGGTGTACAACATACGCGCCAAGCAATTTGATTTTTACACTTCCAGTCACCTTGAAATCTCGGCCGTCCCATCCAACGAGAGCGCAAAGCTCGCAGCCCCCGAAGAAACCCGCAAAAGACGGCCACTACCACCGATTATCCCTCGAAACGACACCCGTCTCCCAGAATGGCGCGCATACCGACCCGCGAGCTGGCCCGCTACCTCTTCCACGGCCAACTCTCCCGCCAAGGCTGCTTGGCCTCGACCCGACGACCATACACCCGCCTACCGGCCGGTTCCGCTCTAGCCCTGTCATCGGCTCCTCGGCTTGGAGAATCGAGGGCAGCATACGCTACAGCTCAGACCGCGACGACAGCATCGCGAGAAGCGCCGCCGGTGCCGTTGAGAAAGAAACTCAAGGAAGAGAAGAAGCAGCTCAAAAAGGAGACAAGAGGCCAAAAGCCAAAGGGAAGCAACCAGACCGTCGAAGGCTGGGAGTTGACCGTCGGTATTGAGATCCATGCCCAGCTCAACACGGCACGGAAGCTCTTCTCGCCGGCTGCGACGTCTTTCAGTGACGACCCAAATTCCCACGTAGCGCTGTTCGATGTCGCCATGCCGGGCTCTCAGCCGAGATTCCAAAAGGAGACCCTCATACCGGCGTTGCGCGCGGCGTGTGCTCTCAACTGCGACATTCAACCCGTCAGCCGGTTCGACAGGAAACATTACTTTTGGTGGGACCAGCCATCAGGGTATCAGATCACGCAGTACTATGAGCCCTTTGCTCGTAACGGCGAGATCGAGCTCACTGCTAGGGACGGCATCGCCGCGGAGGACGGAGAGAGTGTCACAATCGGCATTCAGCAGATCCAGATGGAGCAGGACACCGCCAAGACGCTGGCGCAGCCCAACGACGTCTCCTGGCTTGACTTCAACCGTGTAGGCATGCCTCTGATTGAGATTATCACGAAGCCGGAGCTCCACCACCCGCGCACCGCCGCCGTGTTCGTCCGCAAGATCCAGATGCTGCTAAATGCCGTAGATGCCTGCGTGTCCGGGATGGAGACGGGTGGTCTGCGTGCTGATGTGAACGTCTCGGTGCGGAGGACAGGTGACCCGAATACCCCGCTCGGTACGCGGACGGAGATCAAGAACCTGAGCACGATCAAGGCCGTTGAAGACGCCATCATCGCCGAGCGCGACCGGCAGATCAAGGCGCTCGATGCGGGCGAGACGATTGCGAGCGAGACGAGAGGTTGGACACTGGGCTCCAAGCATACTCGCCGTCTGCGAGGCAAAGAAGGCGAGGTGGACTACCGCTACATGCCGGACCCCGATCTGGGGCCTCTGGTGATTGGCCAAGATCTCGTGAATCATATCAGGGCCTCCGTCAAGGAGCTACCTGACATTGAGCTGACGGAGCTGATTGAGACCTATGGCTTGACGGCCAAGGACGCCGTCTCCCTCATGTCTCTCGACGATGGCGGCAGGCTCGAGTTCTTCTACAAGGTCGTTGACGAGCTCCGAGAACAACTGGAGAACGCTGGATTAAAGACCAACCTGCACGACTACGCGTCCCTCGCCGGCAACTGGATCCTCCATGAGCTGGGTCGATTGACGACGGACAAGGCCGACCCGGAAGCTGCTCAGCGAACACTGGCGATTTCTCCAGATGGCTCCTGCGAAGCGGTGCCGCATTGCGCACTGGCCGGGATCCTCTTCCACCTCCAGAAGCGGGATATCACAGGTAAGGTCGCCAAGGAGCTCCTGGTGGCTCAGTATCTCGGTAACCTAGACGAATTCGACTCCGTCACGGACGCCATCGAGACACACGCATTGTGGTTCAAGGAGATGACGGAACCAGAGTATCGGCAGCTGGCAGAGGAGGTCATTGAAGGGGAGGATAAGGTCGTAGGGGAGTTCATGGACAAGAAGAAGAAGTACCCCCAGGGCAAGCTTATGTACCTCGTCGGCAAGATGATGCGCATTGGCGAGACGGAGCGGATCGACCCCTCTGGCGCCGAAAAGGTCATGCGTCAGCTCATCAAGGAGCGGACGGACGCGCGTCAGGACTGATTTCTCTCTTCTTTTTTGAGTCTCTTTTCTGCCTGCTAGAGGGGAATATTTGACCCCATGTACGTGCGTCTATGCACGCTATATTGTACAATGTATCATAACATCATAAGAACTCGATAATACGAGTGTAAGATAGCAGGGTATTTCCAGCCTCACCTTTCCCCAGTCCCAAGAAACCTTCACTTTGGACTGCTCGTTGACGCCGCCGGCCGAACGTCTAATTTACTCGGCATGAACCCAAAATTGATATTCTCCCGCTCCCTCACGAACCGCTCGATACGTTCCTCCCGGCCTTTGCCAGCCACAGCCTGGCCTTGCCGTCTCAGCGCCTCGCTAATATTGGCCTCGTGAGCATTCTTCTTCTCAAGGAACGTCGCCGTGCTATTATCCATCCTCGTCGTCTGCGCCACCGTGCCCACCGCCAACGCGGCCAGAACCAGCGCGGCGAAACTGGCGTTGGACATGTACATTGGCTTCTGCCTCTCCGCTCCGCCGTTAGCCTGCCGTTCGTGCCACCGCTCCCAGTCTTCCCAGGTCGCGTTCATGGCGGGGGAGTCCCCGCCGTTGCGTGCGTAGCCGTGGCGCCATGCTTTATCGGCGCGGCGGTAGACTTCGTTGATGTCTTCCGGTGCTGCGCCTGTCTTGCCGGGGATGTGCCAGCCGAAGCCCCAGGCGTCGTAGGCGCGGCGTTTGTCTGGGGAGCTGAGGATTTCGTTTGCGAGGACGATGAGGCGGTAGCGTTCTAGGCGGGTTGCTGCGGGGAGGGAGTCGAGGGCTGTGGCGTGGTGTTTGTCTGGGTGGTATTGTTTTACGAGCTCGGCGAAGCGGGCTTTTGTGTAGGGTGCTGCTTTGTCTATTGCGAAGATGTCGTAGGGGGTGGGGTTCTTGCAGGTTGGCCATGGGCTGCCGGTGCCGCCTTTCCCTTTTGATGATCCATTGTGAGGAGGTTTGTGGTGTACTGTTGCGTAGGATCGTGAGGTTGAGGATCGTGTGCTGTGTGAGGCGGGGTGTTCGGAGGATGGTCGTCGTGAGGGTGGTGACGTTATGGATGTGTGGTGTGCGGGGATGGCGAAGAGGTTCAGGACGCTGTTGCTGGAGCAGATGGCGAATGCCGAGGACGTCTTGAGGACCATGGCTGCGGTTGAATAGGTAGATTAACTGGGAAAGGTATCTCAGGGAGGTTGAGGGGCGGGATCGAGGACGAGCATCTTTTGAGGCGTCGTCGTCGGGGTTTGTATAGAGAGAGCTCGGCGATGCAAGTGGCCTGGGGAGTGAGAGAGTTTGGACGTCGGTGGTTCGACTTGCACCAGCGGCTCGTCCAATTGACGCAATCGTGCTCAGTGCTCAGTGCTCAGACTCCCGGGTGGTCTTCCTTCCAGGGCAGTTACTGCAGTCTGCCAGTGCTCCTCCCCCAAGCCGATCCGATAGCTCCGCTGCAGGAAACGAGTGGAGCGGGGACGGAGAGGAGAATACGTACTGTGCCTACTCCATACAGGATAGGGATCAGACCAATCGGCTGATGAAGGGCTCGCCGGGGTGAGGTCGGTAAGGGACGAATGGCATGGCGGGAGAAGCTCTCGGTGAGCTGGGTCGGGTCAATGTCACCACCCATGATCCAAGACCTACCCTGACACTTTCCGCACTTTGATCATTGTGTTGAGAGACATTGAGCATTTTAAGCTTATTCGGCATGCGTACATCAAAACCACACTTGATAGAACTACTCTCAAGAAGCAGCAAGAGCTCCCGCGAGGCCCTTACCTGATTGACAAGACTCTCAAGTAGGGGAGGGACTACCTGCGGTGAAAGGTCACGTGTCTCCACCTGCAGCGCTAGACCAGGAAGGCAAGGGGTCCCGCCCCGACGACACAGCTGATGCGCACCGAATGCACTGGGACCGGGGATTCACCACCATAAACTTGCTTCCAGGTCCCAGGCGACTCTTCCTCCACACAACCACACACACAATCATACTCCTCTCAACCACGCAAACCCAACCATCATCCCACAATCCTCTTCGCGCTGCACCTCGTGGACGAAACACATTTTACGCTGTTTCAGTAGCCCGAGTCATCCAAAAACGACACAAACATTTCGCAATCGCGCAACCCACGAACAACGCACCACTACCACCAACCACCAACCACATCCCTCGACTTTCCTGCACCGAAACTCTGCCCGAGTCCCGGTCATCCATCCACACTTCCAACCAGCTGCCCTCCGGCCACGGAACCCACGACGAACCCCCACGCGACAAGTGACAATCCCGCGAATATCGAATATTCTTCAACGACGATTGCCCTTCTTTGTTGTCGTTGACTCCCACAGTACCTGTCTACTTCCTAATACCTACCGAGCACGACTCGCCCCTCGATACACATCGCGAAGTGGGGAAAGCAAAGCCCTTTCGCGCAACAACATTCAACGACTGCATCGCATCCTCTTCTCTTGCCATTAGGCACATATTCCATAAACACACATTCAAATGGCGGAAGCACTCGCAGACAAGCTCAAGGCAACAAACTTGAGGTTTGTGCCCCTCACCACCAATCTCCCAGGAAGAACCCATCGTTGAAAGCATGTTGGACTGACTTTCGCAGCGATGGCGCAGCATCAGACGACTGGAAGAAGAGCTTGAACCTGCCTGCTAGAGACAACAGACAGCAGACTGAGGTATGTACCGGCAAGGCCAACCTCCCTCCCCTCATCACTTCTTGTCCGCCTTCTCACGAGCTTGCTTCCAGGATGTCACAAACACCAAGGGTCTGGAGTTTGAAAACTTCCAATTGAAGAGAGACTTGTTGATGGGCATCTTCGAGGCGGGTTTCGAGAAGCCGTCGCCCATTCAAGAAGAAGCCATCCCCGTCGCTCTCACCGGCCGTGATATCCTCGCTCGTGCCAAGAATGGTACTGGAAAAACTGCCGCCTTCGTTATCCCCGCCCTCGAAAAGATCAACCCCAAGGTCTCCAAGATCCAAGCCCTCATCCTCGTCCCCACTCGCGAACTCGCCATGCAAACATCACAAGTCTGCAAGACTCTCGGCAAGCACCTCGGAATCAACGTCATGGTCACCACCGGAGGTACTGGTCTCCGAGACGATATCATCCGCCTCCAGGACCCCGTCCATATTGTGGTCGGTACCCCCGGCAGAATCCTCGACCTCGCGGGCAAGAACGTTGCCGACCTCAGCGAGTGCCCCATGTTCATCATGGATGAGGCTGACAAGCTTCTCTCCATCGAATTCACCCCCGTCATCGAGCAGCTCCTCCAGTTTCACCCCAAGGACCGCCAGGTCATGCTCTTCTCCGCCACCTTCCCCCTCTCTGTCAAGGACTTCTCCGACAAGAACATGGTCAGCCCGTACGAGATTAACCTCATGGACGAGCTCACCCTGCGCGGTATTACCCAGTACTACGCCTTTGTCGAGGAGAAGCAAAAGGTCCACTGCCTAAACACCCTGTTCTCCAAGCTTCAGATCAACCAGTCCATCATCTTCTGCAACTCCACCAACCGTGTCGAGCTGCTGGCCAAGAAGATTACCGAGCTGGGCTACTCATGCTTCTACAGTCACGCCAAGATGGCCCAACAAGCAAGAAATCGCGTTTTCCACGACTTCCGCAACGGCGTGTGCCGCAACCTTGTCTGCTCCGATCTTCTCACCCGTGGTATCGATATTCAAGCTGTGAATGTCGTCATCAACTTCGATTTCCCCAAGAACGCTGAGACCTATCTGCATCGCATTGGTCGCTCTGGTCGTTATGGCCACTTGGGTCTGGCCATCAACCTCATCAACTGGGATGACAGATTCAACCTCTACAACATTGAGAAGGACCTTGGAACAGAGATCCAGCCCATTCCTGCTAGCATCGACAAGTCCCTCTATGTCTACGAGAACCCCGAGTCCATCCCGAGACCCATTTCCAACTTCCGCACCGGCCAGCCTAGCCAGGGCCAGCCGCAGCAGCAGCAACACCAGCAGCCTGGTCAGATCCAGGGCCAGCAATTGCCTCTGCAGGGTGGCCCCGCACCGGGCAACTGGCAAACTCAGCAGCCCCAGCAAGGCCAGCAGAATGGATACCAGGGCGGCGGTAGAGGCCGTGGCCGTGGCCGTGGCGGCTACCGTGGTCAGAACCGTGGCGGCTATGGCGGCCGGGGACGTGGTCAAGGCCAAGGCCAGGGTCACCCCCAACCCCAAGGACAAATGTCCTAAGGTTCCATTCATCTCTTCTCTTTAGAAAGGCGTTGTGGCGTATGCAGTCGCGACGGAACACGTGGCTGCGTTTTGTTTGGATTGTACATAGTTCCTCTTCTTTTCATTCTCTCCTGATTTTGGAGGCGACACGGCACGATTAGACTGGGTCGGGCATCTCATCCATGCCCATCATGAGCTTTTAGGTACCCCTCACCACTCACGATCAGGAAACACGAAAAAACACTCGATCAGACCTATACGACTCGTCGCTAAGCAACAAAAGCTTCGTCACATATTCGCAAAGTTTTGGCCTGTACCATACCCCAACGGATCTTACTGGTCTTTTGTTTGGCTTCTTTTCTTTTTCCTTCGGCCTTCTGACGACGGGCACTTTCTACCCGGACTGGAAATGCATGCTGTCTGGAGACGACAGAACGAACAAGACGACAGGCTGAGCCATCGAAAAAAACAAACATCAACCACGGGGCGTGACGTCTGGCGTCAGACGAGCCACCACACCCCTGGCATGGAAATAACCCGCTCCCATCTTACCATGTCATGTGCTTCTTTAACGACGGCGTTTGGGGGAAACAAGCGGCTGAAACGGTATCAGCCCGGAACGGCGTTCGCATGGATGGCGGGCCACATTTGATTTCTGGTGGACAAAAGGGGAGTTGGCCCTCGCGGTAGAGGGCGGCAACACTACGGGATGAGGGCGGTTCGGTACCTCATCTCTGGTTCATGCGCCGCGGTGTCTTTTGAGTATTAATCAATCGATCGCGGAGACGACTGATGTTGGGATATGACACGGAGGGCGACGGGGTGGCTGGCATCCAATGGCGTCTGTCGGAGCACGATCTTCATCGTCGTGCATTTTCTTTGGCAGGGGAAGATTTGGTTGGAGGCCCTCCGTCCGGGGTAGGAGGAGGAGCGTTTGTCGTCGGTCGACTGACAAAGCCAAGATATTGCTTCTTGGCGCCCGAACTCAAAACGGAGGTTTCGACATCATCCGTTACGCATTCTACGCCTATGCCCTGCTTCTTGCGAGAAGGCAGGCTCGACGAACAACCGCAGAAATACCCGAGTATCATTACGCTTTTTCCGGCTCTCTTGGGCCCAACCTGACTCGGCTCTTTGAGTGTCTCGTCTGCCTTGCGAGGTGGCGCAGGTCTCTTGGATGAGCTGGCTTGGCTTGGGTTGTTGGGAGAGCGAGCGGCCTCTTTTGGTACTCACATCAACAAGAAAATAACGCAAAAAAAAAACTGTTTTGGGAGAGAATCGCTGGATGGGCTGGATGGCTTTCGGACTGGGGTGGTCCTCAATGTGGCATCTACTGTCTAGGGGCAGAGTGTCATGGACCGGAACTGGTGGGCTAGATAGTTGTCTGAGCATTTGGAGTGGCAATCAAAACACATTTCTCTCTCATGATCATTTCTACCGTGATTTCTGATGCCATGTGTGCTTGTGTCTTCGCTGGGCCAGCAGCTCGCTGTTCCGGTTCGTCTGGTTGTCGTTACGAAGCACCATCGACGCATCTACTGCAATCCAGGTTGTTAGTTGACACATCTGACGTTGACGCAACAGGTGGTCTAGTCATGGAATCTAGGGTCATTACCGGAGAGCTGTTGATTAGTCCATGCCTTGGGAGATCATCTTACGTGACAGTCGTGAACTTCTTCGGAAGAAACGCTAAGATGAATGATGTATAGATCCTGGGTTCCACCCAGTGCAGCTATCTATGCTGTGATGACTCCTTCTGTCGACGATACAAGGAGAAGAGGGTTAGTCTTAGCTTAGTAGGTACTTGCCTACCCCGAACGCGTGTCTTCAGGATGGATGGAGAGTGGGTGATCGGTATATAAAGGCCTCATTCGTGCCGTTGGTGATGGGGCTGCCAGAAGGAATTTGGGGATTTTGTCGATGATCGTCCAGTGTGGTGTCGCTAAGATTATGCTGGGATGCAAGTTCACGACCATGAGGGAGGCTATCCGCCTTCGGATTTAGATATAAGTCTATGTTATTCACCGATGAGGTGTCTTTGGGTCGCGGTTGTCTTCTTGGTCTTATTCGATGTGGTAGATGCAGGGGATTATGGGCGTTGCTGGGGGTTGAGTCTGAGGATCGGGAGCGGCTTCTTTCTAGAGAGGCTTTGAGATGTGATGTCGTGGTTGATGGCGTCAAGCCAACCTACTCACACATTTCACTCTCGGTAAAAGTCCGTCTCACAGTGTCTGGCTTCTCTGATTTGCTGGCAAATGACGGTTCTTTTGTATCTACTGGCCCGCAGTCTAGGCATCCAGGTAGGAAACCCAAGTCCGATACCTCTTCAAGTCCAAAGCTCTTGGAACCCAAACTCTTCAGGAAGACGTCCCCATCAGCACCAGAATTGGGCACCGTCTTCCTCATATCACTACTACGGCAGGCAAAAAGATTGAGATCAGAGTAGAGTCACTGTATGTACGCGCCGCTACCTAGATTTCCTGCACGGCACATCGGAGCTCACGAAGGAGCACTTTTGCTTGTAAGGCAAGGGATCTAGTTTTTGAAAGCGCGGGACGTGTACGTATTTCGGGTAGAAATATAATCACGCCCATGTCGTCAATCTCCGGACCCTGTGAAAGCCAAATAACCATTTGAAAGGTCAAAGTGGCACAAAAAAGTCCGGGTTTGGGGAGGTTGGTCACGTTGATCACGGTCACAGAGCAGGGAGAACACGGCTGATGTAGTAGACTGGCCCGGCGCTGTTGCGGAGCGCGAGCGACTTACCTCTGGCGCGCTCTCGACTCGATCTATCTCTCAAATTGAACGTTTTGTGGCGGAGTGAAGCGCTCGATGTCTTGTTTGGCGAGAGTTTGGCGGGCCAGAAAAATAAGACGAGAGAAAAGGAAGCTTGGGGACGCGTTGCGGTATTTATCCACCCGAATATTTCGTACCCATACCTTATCTGAATATGCATCTATCCGCACGTCCCGCACTGGCAATTGCTAAAGCGATGCAATGGATCCCGATTCCATTCACGGCTTAGCCTCGCTTTTTGTCTGCCAACGTCTTTGGATTTGATGCCAATGACAAACTTCCTATCGTTGGACTCATCATTGGACTCGCCGTTTGCCGCCCGTCTTTCCAAGGATGGTAGAGAAGAAGAGTACCAAAATCTAATGAAGCTGTAGTTCGCTGGCTATCGTTCAAATTCATCATATCCCATCACCTCCGTCACGGATCGTTCGAAGAGCGGGTCTTGATATTCCCAAGCCGCTACTCGGTGTGTCTGAGCATCAATGGAGCGCACCCCATCCGGAACCGACAGCGCCTGAAGCCGGAGCCGCGGATAGAAAGGCTGACCTATCCATGACTGTTTCGCAATGGGCTGTGGAAAAGCACTTATCTTCTTCTATGGTGTAGGTAATGCACCGGTCTGAAGTATTATTCGGCAAAATAGCGTTGGTAGATGCTAGGACGTGCTCCGTGTAGTGCCGTAGGCGACGGGGAGATTTTGCCTCGATGTTCCGTTCTGCTGGGCCCCCAGGCTTTGTCCTTGTTGATCTGCAGCTGTGATTCGCTGATCGAGAAGTCCACCTCGCATCGCCTGAATGTTTTCCTAGCCGCCGAGGTGCGGTCCAACCGAAGTGTGGCCCAACTCTCCCAATACCTCACCGCCAGCCTGGTCGAAGTTTTCTATTGATGAACAAAAACAGGAACCATAACGAATACCATTGACACCAAAAGATATGGTTAGTAGACCAGTTTGCTGAAAAAAGAGCTTGGTGCGACCTCATTCCGCGACAACAGACTCATAAATGGTAACAGGCAGACGTGGTAGGAACCGCCGCGAGCGTTGTCGGCCTCGTTGGTGCGCTTCTGAAGACTACTCAAGAGATATGAAAAGCCCGAGACCGAGTAAAGAATACGCCAAAAAGGCTCGACGAGATATCCTTGTCACTCCAAGACACGTCGCAGACGGCTAGTCTCGTCAGGGAAGAGCCCAGACTACAGACACCTGCGGTTGTCCATCAACTCGAGACACTCGACGCAATCGCGGAGGAGTTGAATCAGCTTTTTAAAAAAACCTAGAGAAGAAGAGCCGAAATGGCCAGTTTAAGAGTTTCATGAGTGCCTTGAAGACACAAGATGCGGATGAGACTGACGTGCGCACTTAGAAACTCATGCCAATGGCGTGATACTCTGGGTCATCCTGATTATTCGATAACTTTTGCTCTTGATCGAGGATGAGAGACTGTTTACAACCCAGGATTTGATGGACTCGCTTATTGCATCGCCGCCAGAGGTTGAAGAACTCTACATTAAATTTCTCGAAGGTCTCAAGGGTTCCAGTACAACCAAAGAACTGTCAAAGACCAAAACAATTTTGAAGTGGATTGTCGGGTCTCAAAGGAGATCATCCCTACAATTAACAGAGTTACGGGCAGTAATTGCAATCTCGGAGATGGGAGAACACAGGCAATTCAGCCATGATTCCTTGGGTTCACGTAGGGTGGTCATTGGAAAGCACCTTTGGCCCAAGTTCTGTCGCAGCATTCAGATGTACTGCGGTCCGCTGATAGAGATTTTGGATGATTGCCAAATGTCTAGACTGGACTCGCGACATAGGATCAGGCGCGCGGAACCGAATTGGACGATTCAGTTATCGCATCAAACAGTCAATTCATTCCTACAGACTCCAGGCCGCAGCGGAGAGTTTTACATTGAGGCAGCAAGAGCCGAAAAAATGGTCACAAACCAAGCCTGCCGTTACCTTGGCATCCGTGCCTCATCACCCGGATAAGTATCTTGCCGAAGCGCCGCAGAAGGTGAGAGGGGCCCAATTCTGGCGCTGGAACTGGCCGTGGCACCTCTGCTTCAAGAGTCGTTGAAAATAAGCTTGCCCATAACTCGGCAATACATAAAGTCAGAGAAGCGGCCGCTCGCGAAGTTCACCCTAGACGTTATACTGAAGTCTTGCCCAAATAGGGAGACCATGGTACAAACGCTAGGGACGGCTGATACAGATGGTTTGACACCTAAAGACTGGATATCCATTCCATGGCTCGCAGACCTGTGCTTTATCCCAACGTTTCCGGGCACGAGCCTGGAATCGTTCATCTTCTTCTGCTGCGTAAAGGGCCAAACGGAGGCTTTGAAGACTTTTACAGTGCTGAAGGATGAATATTCCGAAAAGCATAAGAAAAAATTGATGGCAAGCGGTAGAGATTATCAGATCATTTGCGGCGCCGTCAAGGCTTTCATGAAAGTTTAGAACAGCGTTTGGAGACAACACAAACATGTCCCGGACGCATGTGCGAAGAGTTTCTCGAGTCTGGGCTGCCAAGAGAGATCCTAATTATAGACGACCTCCTTTAGGGCAGGCCACAGCAACCTGAATAGCGGAATCAGGCGAAAGAATTCTCGCAGAAAAAGTTGAGAGTTCTTCCTCGAGAAGTTTCGTAACTCTCTGTCGAGATGCTAATGTGTCGATTCCTGAAAGCTATGAGGCTCAGAAGACGTTTCGTGGAGACAAGATTGACAAGCGTTGGATCCATGGAGCGGCGGAATGTATAACACCAAGGGGCCTTTTGATTCAATGAATAATGAATGATAGTGGATGAGGTTCGGCCGGAAATTGATTTAGCTCATTGCGTAGCCTACATGGGATCAATGACGAATGGTATCCTCTAATCTTGATCGTAATAGCTCTCTCTTGTCATGACGACGCGCCCATGAAGCGGCATGTTCCGGACATTCCCTATTGTCAATGCACCTAGGGAATTCGAAATCGGTTCAATACTCTCGAAGATGGCTCGCAAATGAAATCCAGTATCACAACCAAGTATCTTGACTACACTTCTTACCTTTATCATATTCGACAAAGTCTGCCAAAGCAATAATGTTTAGGCTTTGGGATTTCTTCATTGAGCCATAACGACTCTTAAGTCCAACGAATCAAGCAACCCATCTTCAGACCATATACCTTTTGGGGGGAATGTGCATCTTACTTTGATAATTTTTGTTTGCGAAAATATCTAGAGTTCTTTGTTCATGTCACATACAGCGGATTGTTCTACCAGTCTCATGAAGCCTTGATAGTGTTGTCTTCCACGTGTGGCTGTATAAATGCCCGGTAACTATCCCATCGACTGCTACAAGGCGACAGTACAATGGTCTCCAGCTTTTCTCCAAATTCTCTGAGATATGAATTTTTTGATTTGCGGATATAGTAGAAATAAATCGGAATAACGCCTAGTTAGTTCTTCCCCCGCACTCGGATGTACTGTCGCCTTGCAGCAGTCGATGGGATATCTGCCCCATGGAGAATGCACAATCCTATCCCTTCACCTTATAAAGCATCAACAGACCTGCCCTCTTTATGAAGCCTTCCTGAATCAAGCCGTGCCTAAACTCTTGCCAACCCTTTTTGTGCTTTATTTGAACACCATGCTAGCCTTGGTAAGCTTTGACGTTCGCAATCGCCACATGAAGCCTAGATCGCTGTGCCCACTACACAAGTCTCTCAAGTTGTGCCCGCTTTGCGGAATCTCGAAAACTGGACCTGCCTCGTAGAGAAACTGAGAAGAAACAATGACTTAGAACAAGCTTCACCCTCAAAAGTTTTGCCAGTAATTCCCGCTTGACAAAGACTTCCTGGCTGCACTTGCACTTTGAAGTTTCGAAGTTTTTGCTCGCCTGGGAAGTCCCAAGAGCTGCACTCGCCTTGCATATTCTTAACAATTGTACCCGCTCTCAAAAGTTCTGAAGGTTGTACTCGCCTTGAGGCAGTTTCAACAGCTGCACTTGCCTTGTTTGTAAACTCTGGTCAGTCCTACCCGCCTCATGAGACTTCAAAAAGTCTACCCGGTCTCTCGAAGCTCTTAAAGCCCCATCCATCTCATGGGTTCTTTTCTCTTCCAATTTTCCTCCTCTCAGGTTCCTCTCTTTTTACAGTCTTCTTCCACCAAACATCTTTTTGGTAGTCACTCTCCAGTCGCCTTCAGCAGCATCAAACATCACCACCTTGGTAAGCAAACCCATCTCTTCTACGCTATCTCAATACTTGAGAGTGTCTCTTATTTTCTTCTAATATTCTCATCTCACTTCTACTTGCGCCCTCGATTTTGGTGGAGAAAGCCATCACAAGCTGGGCTGCGAAAACGGGCCGTTCACAGGTGCTCGAGTCTCTTGAGTGAGAATCTTAGCTGATTGTTTCACAGCCTCCAGACATCTTTGCAGAAACTTCGCATATCATACGCAGTTACGACAACAGTAGGTCAGTTGTTCTATATTTCATCGTTCATCTCGTCCTATGCCGAGATTCGCACAAACCGGCCCTTTTGGTCTGCTTTTGCGTGTCGATAGCGCTCTCCTTCTCGACCATCGACAGCGTGCTTCCCGATCCAAAGCAACGAGCGACACCAATATTTACTGACCTTTGTTATCCTTCCCTCCTTGATCTTCCTTAATTCGTTTCGAATTGCGGGAAGTAGCTGTCAGTTGCGCCTTCTAACTCAGTCTCCAAGAAAGAGTAAGGGAACAGAAGACAAGCGCGCTGTACAACTCTCTTCTGGTGCCTCGCTCGCTCTTAGTCTTACCCTCGCTTTGAACTATTATTTCTTGCCTACATCTCCGCTAACTTTCATCAACAGTCCGCTCGAGCTCTTGCCATAAGCGTCAGTGGCAATGTCCCGTCAGGTCATCTCCAAGCCGACCTTGGGTCCGGCTCGCCGCACCCGCGCTCACAGTCAGACTCTCATCAACAGTGTCGGTGCCGCCGCTGCTGTCAGCAAGATGACTGGCACTGCCAATCCTACCAATAAGGGATCGAACACCTCAGCCACCAAGCCCCAGGCTAAGAAGGTCAAGAAGGAAGAGAAGTCCAAGCAGGTCGCGAAGTGCAAAAAGGTCCAGAAGCTGAAGCCTCGCTTCGACACCTTTCACCCGTTCCCCCGTCTCCCTAATGAGATCAAGGCAATGATCCTTTGCGAGTACATCGATTTCGAGCCTGCCATCATTTACGCGAGCTGCAAGGCCAACAAGAGCACCCCGGGCCTCATCGACGTCAACACTGGCAATGATGGTAAGCACTCGAAGTACAAATGCATCGCCGAGCTCACCAAGGGCATCCCCGGCTTTGAAGCCTACGTCGAGCGCCAGGTTGGCGTCTCCTTCAAGGACTTGTCCTACCGCCCCGAGGAAGGCGTCCGCAAGGGCAAGGATCTCATGGTTCTTATCTTCGACGACAAGTGGGGCCATTACCTCGACTGGTACAGCAATTCCCAGCGGAAGCTTAACCGCAGGCAATTCATGCCCGGCATTGAGAATTTTGGCGTCATGTACGATCCGACCCGCCTTCGCGGTCTGTGTGCAGGCCCTGGACTCTTTGGACCTTACTTCGATGCCTCTTATGATCTCCACATGCTTGTCAACAATCTCCGTGACATTAAGAACTTCTACCTTCTCGTCAAGTTGCGCGGCGGCAGTCAGACCGAGCAGAAGAAGTGGATGAAGAAGCGGCTTGGTATGTGCTAATACCGCAGCTCTGGGCGCGTCCATTATGGCTCTCACTTGTACTAACAAGAACACAGGCATTGCGAAACGTTGCAACAACAATTTCGTGGTCTTCGAAGACAAGCAGAGAACTTGGGTGGAAATCTCTCGGAAGACCGTCAAACACCAGGCGTATAGCTCTCTTCTGACAGATGCAGACAAACTCCTCAAAACCACCGAGATGCACTACCGTTCACTCTGCAGACTGTTGGGTGGACCCCCCAACGTCCAATTCCGCATCCTGGTGGCGTCGCATTTCCTGAACAAGAAGCTGGGAATTTGAGACTGAGCCCCGCCGCGAACAAGTTTGCCTCGAAGACTCCATGGCAGCACAGTGTTTGGTCAGGAGGCAGTCAAGAAGGGATACGGCAGTATGGCTATGGCTTTCATGAGAATCGGCTTTACAGATGAACGCAGTTCATAAACAAGGCCTCAGCTCATGTGCATTCGGGTTTGAGAGAGGGTATGAGGCAGGAAGTGCAATTACCTTAGCTCAGAAATCCGTATCATTGTAATTCGAGGAAATCACAGTATTCAGGCTGCAGTCCGTGACATGGTGCCATTGATCGTCATTCTTGCAGGCATGCAGCGCTGCGACGGGACCCTCTCAGTTCTCATGCATGGCATGACATAAGTGGGCGTCCCTCGTTACTGTTGTCAAGCGATGATCACGGTCTAGTTGCTGCCGGGCATTTGGACCTGCATGATATGAGTTGAGGGTTCGTGACAAGTGACAACTTCACATTGACTGACTATCGTGAAGTGAGATCCAAAAAAGAAAGGTACTCCATGAAAGCTAAAGATACAGCTAAATTCCAAAGACGAAGTGGACCCTCGTCATTCGGGTGAGATCCGCCCGCTCGGCTCGGCTTCCGATCGGCGGACCCTCGAAAAAGCGCCTTATCACGAGCAAATTCCATCGCCGGAAACGAAAAGATTTCGGCGCCGAATGCTTATCCCAGTGGCTTCGATTTCCGGTTTAAGCCCTTGCCTTATTGTCTTGGGGCGGCATCGGAGCATTTCGCTGGGGTGGAAAAGCGACTAGGGGACTGACTAATTTCAACGGCGATATCGTCCGACGCAAACAGCGATAACTTAAGAGCTAAGAACCTTGTTACTCTTGCTCATGTCGCACACGTCACTTCGGTCGAATTCTCTTGATTGTAGGTTCGATTTTTGATTAAACACATGAGACTAAATTAATACTCATTCTGTATACAGATTGAATGCAGTTTTGCCAATTATAATGGGATTCATTCCAAGATACAACGACGATGACGACTTCGAATAAACGCCCAAGCAGCGAGCCGCAATGGCTCAAGACATCCATCGATGTTCTCCAAGCGATAAAGCTAGTATGTCCAACTCACAAATTCATCCTTTTTCTGTAAAAGCAGCTCACTCATCTCGAACAGGCTGCGTCCCAGACGGCTCCGAAACTCCTCAGTTCGTGGCTTTACGTGCCCGCGGGCATCATGGTCATGCTGGCCGCTTGCTTCGGCGTAAGCGTCTTCTTCGACGCCGTCGGCGTTTCTTTCCCTGCCTCTGTGGCCTGTTTGATTCTGCTCTTCTTCGGTCTGTTGTTGTCGGAGCTGGCACTGGGAAACCACAAGACGAGAGCAATCGTTGCCGTCATTGATGTGCCAGTAAGTTATTGCAATGCGATTGACAATGTTGGAAGCTAGTCGCTAATGGACCTCAGGCGGGATGGTCTCTCCGTTGGATCAACATCTTCTTCACACCATCCTTCATCATGCTGCCTTTGAGTCCCTCAATCGGCATCGTTGAAGTCATGAAGATTATTGCCGTCTTCAGTGAGTACCCCTTCTTCAATCCAATGTTTCGTGGACCTAACACCCCTCAGTCATTGGCTTCATCGTCATGATGGCGCTCGCCGCATACCTCACCCGCGGCCTCCAACTCCTCCTCGGCTCGTCCAAACGCGCAATGACAGAGCGCGCAGAAGAAATGGGCAATGAGACCGACGAGATTCCCTTCGCCGACACCCCTCCGCGAATTGACTCCGTCCCGGGCTCCCGCACCATCTCCGCAGCCCCGTCCTCACTTTCACTCAACACCCTCGCTCCGCCGCCACCCTCCCAAAACGCCTCACACAACTTCCTCCCATCAGCAACATCATCCCCCACGAGAGTGACCGAAATTAACGTCGATCTTCCCTCCTCTCCGCCAACACCACCTCTCCCACCACAGGACCCCGTCCCCCCGCCACGCTCCCAGCTCTGGGCAGCCTGGATATGCGGTCACCTCAACTGGGTTCTCTACGCCTCCATCTTCACCTTCGTCGGTGTTCCCCTATACTACACAACAGGCTACGCCATGCCCCTCCACCTAAGCCTCATCCTCCTCGTCTACTTCGCCGCCATGTCCGTCCCCGCAAACTGGAGGCAATATCTCCACCCCGTTCTCGTAACCGCCCTCTTCTCTGTCCTCGGCATCTGGGCTCTCGCCGCCATCCGAGGCGCAGGCCTCTTTGAGACGCTCCGATCCTTCCGCACGGGAGCGAATTACACATACCTCTGGCTCCACGCCAAGAACCCGGAAGGCCGCCTCCCCGGCGCCGGCGACATCTTCAGCACAGTCCTTGACGCGAGTATTGTATCGCTCGCGCTGCCGATGTACCAATACCGCCGTGAGCTGAAGCAGAATTTTGTGGCGATCGTGCTGCCCAACATCCTCATGTCGATAGGCTGCCTCTTCTCGTACCCCAAGATCTGCTTCGCCATCGGCATCAGTGCAGAAAGGTCTCTCGCGTTTGCGTCGCGGAGTCTGACGCTTGCGCTGGCTCTACCTGCAACGGAGAACTTGGGTGGTGATTTGAATACCGTGGCTGCGGTAGCTATCATGAGCGGTATTGTTGGTGTGCTAGTTGGCCAGCGGATGTTGGCCTGGATGAAGATTCCAGAAGGTAAGAGGCTGCCCACTGTGAGCGATGAAATAAGTGAACATGAGCAACTTACAGGAAGACAGATGACTACATCACCCGTGGCGTCACACTCGGAGCCAACTCCTCAGCCATCGCCACCGCTCTCCTCTTGCGAACCGATCCCCGTGCTGCGGCGCTATCAAGCTTGTCAATGAGCTTATTCGGCACCATCACCGTCCTGTTCACATCCATCCCGCCCATCGCAAGTGTAATTAAGTCGCTGGTAACATGATATTTGGATTATGCTACAATATCACTCATCACAGCTAGGCGCCTCGAGTATCGTCTACGCTGGAATGCTAGGAGCCAACCCCTTCCAAAACTCACACCTGGCACCACGCCCACCCTCCCATACATCCGCAGGGACAACCCGGATATCATTCACCTGTCCCGGCGCCATAAACTGCGTAACCCGCGCCCCCCACGAAGTCGTAAACTCGTACGGAACGCCGCCCGTCTGGTTCAGGTTTACCTGCTTCGGTGCCTCCTCCGTCCAGACAGGCCACTTGCTCGCCCCATTCTCGGCGCCCGCGTCGGCACCGGAAGCTCCGTTGGCGATATCATTGCTGATGGAGGGGTCATCGCCCGTGATGAAGTTACCCCAGATCTTGCGGAAGGCGAGGACAATGCCCGGGCCCTGGTTCGGTGTCGCGGGGCCAAAGTAGCCTGGGATGTCGGCCGTGTGCCAGGCAAAGGGGACGGAGTACTGGTAGTGCCACGACGACTTTGGCGACGTGAAGGCGTCGGAGAGCCAGTAGCTGGGGCACACGAATGTTGCCTCGGCGTAGATGTTCTATTGCAGTTGTGTTAGACTTAGGGCCACGAGACATGGCAAGAATTCCTTACGTTTGCTCTCTGCTGTTGTCCGGTCCCAGATTGGCTCACGTCAAGGGCCGTAAGCCCCGTCAACCCGTTCGTCTCGAAGCGGGTATCGTTCGCGCCTGTCTTTGTTGGATTTGCGGCGAGGATCTCGTCGATTTGGCCCGCCGAGAGGTTGGGGAACTCGAGCTTCAGCCAGGACGTCAAGTCTGCGACGCTGACGATGTTGGGCGGGGTGAGGAGAGGTCCTTCATTGGCGTTATGCTTGCAAGGCTCGTCAGTTGCCGGCCAAGAACGTGGAGCTTCGTGGGGAGGATACTCACACCGACGAGGAGACGCTCTCCATTGACTCTTTTTTGCTTCATCTGCTCAGTCGGGAGGCTCTTGATGTATACGCCGTCCGTCACAGGGTAGAAAGCCCTGTCGTCGTCCAGTTAGCCGCGTTCAGGAAGGGCGAACCGCATGTCCTGAAAATCGATTACTTACCAGAACCCATACGGCTGTTCAAACGTGGTATTCGCACTAGCAAGCTGCAGCGTCATACTATCCTTCCCACGAAGACACGCAAGAACATCGACAGACGACGAGCACCCCGCCTTCTCGGCAAATGCCTGGTATCGCGCCGTCGGAAACGCCGCGTCATAGTCATAATGGAAGGGAAGATACGGCGAAGCAGCGATCCCCTAGCATCGAAATCGAGTCAGCCAATCATCACCACAGGCTTCCACCCCACAGCCTGTCAAAACTTACGTTCTTGAAGAGCGTCGTCCCCAGACTAGCGTCCACGGCGAGAGTGTGATACATCACCGACCCGGCGCCCGCCGACTCCCCCGCAATCGTGACCTTTCCACGATTTCCGCCAAACAGGTCGATGAAGCGCTGGACCCAAGCAAGCGCAAAAGCCTGGTCCAGAAGTCCCGCGTTCACGACACCGCGAGCCTTGACGTCCGCAGAGGAAAGGAACCCTAACGCGCCGAGCTGTACATCGTTAGTATGCTGTCTCTCAACAGATCTCTCTCACCCACCACCAAATCCCGGGAGAAGAATAGACAGATAACCCCCGCAAAAAGATACGGAAAAGCAAAAGAACATACCCGGTACTGAATCACAACAGCCACAAACCCACCCTCATTCGCCCCAATAATCTCCGACATGTCAATCCTCCCATCACCGTAGCCGTACCCGCCGCCGTGGATGTACACCATCACCGGCAAATCCTTGGCGTCGGCGGGCGCGTACACGTTTAGGAAGAGACAATCTTCGTCACCGGGGATGAAGGGGAGACCCGGGACGGCGGGGTAGTTTTGCGGGCAGATGGGGCCGAATTCGGTTGCTGCCGTCACCGGGACCGCGCCACCGGTGACCGTGTCGTTAGATGAAGGGAGACGAGGCGGTTGCCAGCGCTGTGAACCCGTCGGCGGAGCTGCGTAGCGGATGCTGGAGGGGTTTAAGTAGACGTCTACGAGACAAATAGACAAACATCTTACCCTTTCCAGATATTGAGGCCGCTGGTGGCGTTG